GCATAAACTTGTGCTCATTAAAGTATTTTTTAAAAAAATAAAAAATCAACCCATACACAGAAACGAAGCTGGGATGAACTATTAGACAATATCACATCCTCAAAAGTAAGCTGACTTTTCTCTTTCCCAAATGACTTCCCTGAAACAAACATTCTTACCTTAGTAAGGAAATTAAATACAAATTAAAAGATTTTGTGATCACCTTCTGTTTGATCCCCTCTGGCTTCTCATTATAATTGCAAAATTTTGTTCTAAGTGTGAAAAATGAATGAAGCTGAAATGGCTCAGTATTGGATAGAGATAGTAACCTAAGGGAAGGAAAGGGACTCAGACATACGTTTTTAAATCTACGGTTGATTTACTATAGAACTCAGGCAAATCACTTTCTGCTCTATTTCCATATTTGTAAGATCCAAGTCTTCTACAGGGGAATTGATTTTTAAAGCAAAATTTGAAGTACTGTCTAAAACCGATGGCTCTGCATGCATTACTCTAAGGAACCTATTACTCCTTCTTTTCCCCCTCCTACAGAGTTACCTGTTTATTGTGAAAGGACCCAAATGCTAGGCCTTGCACCTACCTAAATTGTTTGGAATCGGAGAGGGTCTTCTCTCTGTTCTTCAATCTTAGGATGCTGTCCCACCTCAGAGTCTGAAATCTTTCTCAGTACATAAGGCTTTACCACCACGATTCCTCCTCCTCCATTTAAAAGAAATTAACTATCTTGAGTATTTGGTGAAAAGTCCATGTGTGGAATTGCATGTGCCTTTAAGGCAGTTCTTGCGTTTTGGTTTCTAGGACAACAAAAAAGGCAGTCAGCTTGGGGCTGTATGAAGAAAGATGGAAGGAAGACAAAAAATTGCTTTAGCACAGTAGAGTCACCTTATCAGCACAGAACTTGTCTCCAATCCTTTTGAAAACCAGACCTCAGCCACATCCTATTGCAGGAGACACAGGCTAGAGCATGTGACCAGTGACTAGTACTCACCCCAGCACTAAGGAACAACAGCTCCGAACTGACTCAGAGAGCAAGATAGGACTGTACAGGATATTAGTTAGTCTCATGCTGCCTGCTGGAGGGAAGGCTCTGTGGCTGTGACAGAAGATAGCAACCCAGCTGATAAGAGGAAACAGTAGAGACACATACACAAAGCAATTTTATGAGGGAAGCTATAATGACACCAAGTTTACAGCTAGAGGCAAAACCAAATAGTAAACAAGTTTGCTTAGGTCTAGCACTGCTGTGCTTTGGCATATGCAATTGCAATCCTTCTTTTTCAGTTTGATTGAGTTTCCTGCCCATGTGATTTTTTTCCCCATGGGCTGGATTTATTTCACTGAAGACAGCTTTTTCCTGGCAGAGAACTGTATTGTGAAGTCTTTGGTGGCTTCTACAATTTAAACACTGTGGATTACAGACTGCCACCAATGCCTCCAGCAGACAGATGGGATGTGAGAACGCAGTGATACTACAAGCATTTACAATCGAATTTTTTTCTCCCCCCTCCTTTTTTCATATCAAGGCGCTAATCTCCTCTTCATGTACAAAACATTATGTTGTGGATTTGAAGTGCTTGTTCCTAATCTAAAAGGCAATACATATTGAAGATTGCTGGAGCCAGAATCCAGATTAATTATCAAAAAATAATTATGTACTTCTACTCCATTAACAGTTATTCACAGATAGAATTAAGTATCCAGCTAAAAAAACAGCCTCACTGGAAGAAGAGGTTTTGCAGCAAACTCAGTGGCTATTTTGTTTGATTTTTGACACAGACTACAAATTGTTCACAACTCAATACCTTAAACTCATAGCAAAGCTCTGGTCTGCAAGTATTTACATACTTGTCCAAGTTTCCTAGTAGAAGTAAAAGAACTGTCATATACAGTTCATATAAACCGTCATATACAATCATATAAAAGAACTGACAACTGTCAGGCATGGGCATTTGTAGGATCAGGTTCATAGAGCATATAATTATGCTGGTTGGAAGACACTTCTGGAGGTCATCTAGACCAAAGTCCTGCTCAAAGCAGGACAAATTAACACTAGGTGGTTCAGGGCCACATCTGGCTGAGGTTTTAGTGTCTTCAAGGATGGAGATTCCATAATCTTCCTCAGCTCTTGTTCCAATTTCTGATTATTTGTATGGTGAAAATTTTTTCCTAATGTCTAATCAGAATTTTCTATACACCAACTTTTCTCTGTTGCCTCTTTCCTATCCCTGTGCCCTCTGAGATGGGTCTGGCTCCATCTTGTGTATACCCTCCCATTAGATAGTTCAAGACAGCAGAAAGGTCTCCCTTAGCTTTCTCTTCGTAAAGCTAAGCAAATCCAGTTCTCTCTCTTCCTACCCCTTGTGCTCCAGCCCTCTGATCTTGGTGGCATCCACTGGACTCAGTCCAGTGTGTCAATGTCTTTCTTCTACTGGAGTGTCCAAAATAGGACACGGAACTCCAGATGTGGTCTTATAACTACTGAATATAAGGGAAGACTTACTTCCTCAACCTGCTGGCTTCATTTTACTAATGCAGCCCGAGATGCAGTTGGCCACCTTTGCCACAAGGGCACATTTCTGGCTCATAGTCAACCTGCTTTTGAACAGGATGCCTATCCCGTTTTCTGCAAAATGTTTTTTCAGCCAGTACTACTGCATGGGGTTATTCTAACCCAGATGGAATACCGAGTCACACTTGCCCTTGTTAAACTTAACGAGGTTTAATTAGCTCATGCCTCTTGCTTGTCAAGGAACCTCTGAATAGCAGCTGTGTCCTTCAGCATATCATAACGTACCTGGTAGTCTACACTGCTCTCGATAGAAGCAGCTATTCTGAAAAATCAGGCTCCTTACCTTTGTAGAAGCAATAGATTTTACAAAATGTATTTCTTGATTCCCTTTGCTCTGAACACATTACATGCCCATATTAGTGGCTTTATGAATGTCTTATTAATACCGAAGTGTTGCCTCTATTTTATTCTACGTGTTTGAGCTCCTCCTAGCATCACCCAGGATACAGCAGGCCCCCATCCGACTGGTTCGGTCAGTGCAAGAGGGGATCATCAAGAAGTACCTATGCCACAGATGAAAATTTAGATGCATTTGAACTAAAAAAAAACCCACCACACATAGGGACAGTGCAGAAGGACACAGACTGATATTGAACTGAGACAACAGGAAACGTTACAATTCAGTTCAACAAATGCTGACAAGGGTCAGATCAGGAATGTTTAACTATTTTACATTATTAAGAAATCCTGGGACAAAGCATCATAATGGAAATCCTTTCTGAAACTTTGTTCCATTACAGATCAACATTTTCATCTGACACTGGATGGAAACAACTTTTCTTGAAGTAACAGTTTCTCATCACATGAGAATTCCTCTTTGTTTGTTTGTTTTTTAAAACCAGTGCTAGACTAGTAAGAATAGTGTAATTCACTGTCAAGAAACATTTACCATGATTTTTCAAGAGAGTTAAAAAGGGAATAAAAGTTTTGTCACAGAATAATTCAAACAGATAAAACTTAAGGCACATTTCAAAGGCTGGCATCAAAGCAATTTTATGTAGACTCTCTTTATACAGCAAATAGTTACATATAATATGCATGACAAAAATATGACAGTTTCAGTATTTAATATTTAATATCCAATCTAAACCTAAGTATTCAAAAGAAAATATTTTTACACCATTTCAGTAGTCACTTAGCTCAGTAGTTGGTTGCAATAATCCTCAATGTTTTCAGGAACTGGATGGAGCTATAAGCACAAAAACTCTCATTAAAGTTAACGCCTGACAAAGTTCCATTGCAACCCTCTGAAAAGCAAAGAGTTACATTAAAAGAAATTCAGATACTGAAGTACATTGAAATGTATTGTGTCCTACAGCAGAGTTTGATACTCTACTGGTCAGAAACATGATGGTAACTTCAAAAGGCACTCTGAGTTAAATTACAGTAACTCTGGTCCACAAGCATTTTAGAATCTTGGTACTGTATAGTAGAAAATATTCAATATAAATTGCTTTAATCTCTGTTCTAGCCCCAGAGCAGTCAAATTATATTGCACTTTTAAAATATTCTGTGTAGGCTGTGATAAAAATCTAATATTTACATGTTGTGTTTGTTAAAGAACAAGGCATCACTTTGTAAAATATTTTAAGAACCAAGTTTTAACATTTATTCTTGTATTATTAATATAACCAGAGGCTACATCAAATATATATTTTTTTTGTTAGCTCCTATTATAGAAACAATTTTGGTCCTTCAAAAAATTTGTTATGCTGCAATTCATGTTCACAACTGGTATCAATGCTTGCCTGAAATTGCAGTAGTTAAGAATATTTAAATAAATAAATACATAATTTCTAAAGAAGTAATAGCTTTGGAGTTTTGTAAACAAACTGCTGTGGAAAGTCTGTAACAAGACTCAATTTGGCATGTTATGACTTTAATTGGCAATACTTTACAGTTATACAACCTCTGCCAGGGTAGAAAACAGTTTGGTAGGCACATCTTATAAATCAGTCTGAAAAAAAGACCCCAAAAATACTGATTGTTCCTTAGGTTGTATGAATAAATAAAAATGATCAAAGAGTAACATGATCCACTGAACCCAAAATTGACATTTATATGATGGGGGGGGGGGGGGGG